TTACATTCTCCATCCAGTTCATCAAAGGTCTTTGCCTTCTCGACTTCAGTTAGCCAATTGATGACGTAAAGTCCATCATAGCTGTAGGCATTGCTAACAGCTTCCTTCATATTGGCTATCCATACCCTCAGCCCAGCCGCGTCGGGCTCTGGCGGGAGGTCTATGGAAATGCACTTAGTCGCAGCTGTACAGTTCGGATCATGATGGCTACTGTACCCGCCGCCACCAGTTCCGAAAAGATGCTGTGGAACCTGAGAGCTACCGATTGACAATGCACACACAGGACAAAGGCGTGTAGCCTTCGGAATGCAAATCTCACATGCCCTTTTCATGCATATCTTACATTCCTCAATTTTACTGGGATCAGGAATATCCCGATCACACATCCGACATTTCTTGTCAGGAGGATCGGGGCCACGCATGGTCGGCGGCTCAAGGCCTGAAGGATCCTTCGGCCTTGCACCGTTGGGATCGAATCCTGGATAATATCCGGTTTCACGTTTATCCAGGGGTACGGGTTGCGTAGCCTTCGGAGGACTCTGAAGGTCAGCCGCGTTGGGTTGACCCCCAGTTGGAGTGTCACGGAATCTGTCAACGGGTGGCCGCAGAGGCGGCGAGTACGACCGTGTCGGGTTCGTCTCTGGTACGCCTCCAGGCGATCTGTTCCTGACACGGTTACCTTCGGGATCCCTTCTTCTCCTAGTCTCGTCCCTAAGGCACGCAAGACAACAGGGACCTTGGACAAACCCAAATCTCCTGTAGTCATCCTGCCCAGCAGAATGTCTGGTGCAGTAGTAGGTCTTACAAAACTGACACTCAATTCCCTTTGTCAGGAACGAGCTCTCCCTACAGACTCCGCATCGGGGTCCGTTACGGGAACACTCTTCACACAGGTTCTCTTTAAACGAGAAACAATACTCACAAATATCACCTCCGCATCCCTTGCAGTGAAACTCAGCCATGAGATGATTATATCCATCACCTACATATTTACATCTGGGTTTACCAGGGTTGCCAGGGTTCCCACCGGCAGCACTCTTCTTCCCCCCTCCTCCTGGGCTTTGCCAATCTGGAGGAGGAGGTGGTGGAGGATCATCATCAGGAGGGCCAGGTGGAGGTGGCCGATTATCCGGAGTACGGGACGCGGCACGCCTTCCTCCTGTGCGATCGTTCAATCCACTACTTGAGGCCTGGTTCGAGTGCCTTGACTCGAGGGAGTTAATTCTCTGGGCCGTATTACCCAGCACCTCGAGCATTTGCTCGAGCTTACTGTTGAGCGTAGTCGAAACGGCCATGTTATGAGTATTTTGCTTGTCCGTGTAGGATTTGCAGTCCCTTGACTTTATCTCAAGGTTGGCTGTGTCTCATAAAGTTGGTCTTTAACCCACTTTATGCCGTCCCTATTATTGGTCCAGCGTTGTTCGACATCTTGCATCATCCTATCAATCTGACATACCCTAGTGGACAGGTCCTCGATTTTGAGGTTTACTCCACCAATCGCAGGATGGTTGGATTGGCTCTCCACTAGAGATCTCTCGATCATATCAACACGAGCTATAAGCCCGGTTACTCGATCAGAAAGAGATTCAAAAACAGTTTGAACCTGGGTGATGGAGCGAGCAACATCATCATAGCTGGCTCGCTCATTTAGGGCATCGCCTATGCTCATCATGCGATTGGAAACGATCTTGACGCGTTGGCCAAGCTCGGTCACGATGTCCTTAGTCCCTTGTGACAGCTGCATGGCCGCGTTCGCAGCCTGCGTACACGTGCTACTCACATGGACGCATTGGTCGTATTTGGCCCTCCACGAGTTAACCTCAGTGGAGAGCTGCTTGATGCATTGATCACTTCTATCATTCCTACGCCCAAGGTCTTCGACCTTAGCAACCAGGCGATGAATGATCGCACTTACCGAAGAGTCCACTCTCCCTCTTTCAAGGGCTGTTACAAGATCAGCAACCTCGTTGGGTTGCTCCTCATTCGTAGGACCAAATCCTGACCCGCGATCTCGAGGAGTGGACAGATCAACCATGATTGGATTAGATCTCGGAGGAGTTCTGAAATCATCCTGCGCGGCCGTTGATGGCCGTGGGAACTCACTCCGATTAGGAGATTGACTCTGATACGGAGCAGATCTCCTAGCATCACGAACCGCAGAGGGTTGTGTCATGCCCAGGCCTTTGGCCACGGGCAGTTTAGGAACAACAGGCCTATCCATTCGCATAGGAACATCAGGTCTCGAGTCAGCAATAACAATGTCATTCAAGTCGGTCGCATTGGACACTCTAGACTCAGACATCGATTCAATATCAGTCGCATTACTGATGGTATGATTGCGACTAGAACTTGATGCCATCATGGATTCAGATTCTATCGGAACATTTGCTCCGTCCATGTCGTCTAGGGCGAAAATGGAAGCCGCGTTGGGCGTAGGGCGAACACCTTGTGCGTTCATGCCACTTGACCTATTAAATTCCTCCTGGAATGCTTCGATTCCATCAAGCACGTTAACGAGTGTGTCCGCGTTTAGCGGGTCTCTACCAATGATTGACGCTGGATCACCTGATCGACCGCGTCCTGAGTCCCGCGCACTGGGGTTACCCCTGTGGGCGGTTTCCCGATCCATCCCCCTTGCCCTATGCGATCCAGTCGAATTTGACCTTGATCGTTTGCTCGGGGTCGGACTGGGATGCAAATCCAATCTATCCACGATATTACGCTCTCTAGGGCTCTCAAATCCTGAAAGTCCTGGGGGAGGGGACATGTTCCTCATGGTCGGGTTTACCGACGGCCTTGGCCTGACGTTACGGCTGGCCACATCAGGATTGAGATTCTCAATCGACAAAGGTAGCATGAATTCATCACTTCCAGCAGCTCGTTTTGGGCTTTGGAAATGCGGGAAAGATGACGGGGCGGGTGGCCCTGGCATCCATGCGGCATAATCCATACCAAAAATGTTTCCGTCGTTGGGCCATGAGGCTCTCCAATCGAGCCCACCGGATTCGGTCGTCAGATGAACATCGAATGCAACTCCACTGGATGTACCAGGTTCGGGATTACCGAGCGCTTGAAAAACTATACTACTGGTTGGCACAGGTCTACTGCTACTTTGAGAGTCACGAAACTCGGACTGACCAATATTCATCAGCTCCGGGAAAGATGAGGATTGAGCTCCAGGTGCATTACCGGGCTCGTCATCATCACGTCCTGAGACGAAATCATCATGGTCAGGACGATTAGCCCCATGACCCTGAGAGCGATTAGCTCTTGAGGCATAAGACGATAGGTCATCAGTGCGAGTAGCACTGGACCTTCCTGAAGGCATTGCTTCGGAAAAAGTGTGGTCCGACAAAAAATCAGGACCGGAAAACATCGGCTGTCCGGGCACCTGGTCGTCATTCACAACGTCCAAGATTCCGGCCTGGCCGAGAACCCATTCATCAGTCACCACGTGAGGTCCATCCTCAGTGATTCCTGCCATCGTATATACAATAACCTACAGCGCCTGCAGGGTTGTTAAAAAGGGGTTCGCGGTGCCAACCGAGGACGAATCCTACGGCTGATAACCTGCGAAAGGGTTTGAAACAGAGTTTCGGGAAGGATAAAACAGGCCCTAACCCACCAACAAGAAGAGACCACCTTATCCCCCCGGTCCCAAGGGCAAAGCGGTTGCCCTCGGCCGGCACAAACACGAACCAAAAGGGGTGCCAGTTGTAACAAGAAAAGAGACCAAGCAGCAGCGCAGCAGAGCGCAAGGCAAGCAAGCAAACCGGCAGCAAGCAGCACCAAGCGAGCAAAGCGAGCAAGCGTGCAGAAGCAAACCAAAGCGAAACCTCCCAACTCAACACCCGACCCACCTCCACGAAGACCCGGACCACGGCCTGCCGGCCCCGCGCACCTTTTGCGCGGAGACGGTGGCCAGTGCCGCCGCGAGCACGTGACGAAATGGCGAGTGAGAACTGCCGGAGATAAAACTTGAGCCAAACGGCGCATTGGCCGTGGCATGGAAACATGCTATGATAAAACTACATGCCCCCAAAAACACAAATAAAACGGGCCATTTCGGACAAGGAAACCAAAAAACAAACACGCGATTCTCCTGGACTTGCGACCCATGTGTGCCTTGGTGAAGCTCCGAATCTCTGGACGTCATAGTGGTTCCCTTTGCTCCCCATCCAAGCAACAATATGTCCTGATTCTGGCCCACATTATATCAACTATGTTAAACCATAAAATGTAATAACAAGAGGTGCCAGTCATACTCCCCAGTCCGCGCAGGGTTCCTCCACTAGCAACCTTCATGACTGCCTTTCATCCCCCCTTCCACCACCCCCCGCCCCCATGTGGGATCATTTGGGGATTTGGGGAAAAGATGTGCCAAGATTGAGAAATTTGGATTGTTGGTTTCCCCAACCCAAGGGTAGCATCAAGCACACAACCACACCAAAAAGACCAAAGGGGGTCTTAGGCTCCGGAAGATGCCCTGGCCTTATGCTCGTCTGGAATCTGGTTCCCTCAAGCTTCTGAGTCTCGAATTGGGGGACCCCCAAATCCGTAGTGGAACGCAACAAACAAGCCGATTTCAACGATTTCACCCAGGGGCGATCACAAAATGCTGGCTTTTGCTTTTTGGCCCTCCCAAACCAATGTGAAAAAGGTACCAACTCTAAACTCAGTTGCCCAAAGGACCTGGAAAGAAAAGGTTAACCTCTTGTGGCCATGACACACAACGGAACAAAAAGAGCAAACCAAAAGATCATTTCAGGTCGATTCGCTTTTGGCAAGTGAGTGAACCCACCAAACAAAAACAGGGGGACAAACGCCACACCGCTGAACCCAAGCCGCTAAAGGTGTAGAACACTCTGGTACTTCCATTTGGTTAAGACCCCTGGAAAAAACAAGCACATATTCCAGCAGTGATAGTTTCCCTTTAAAAAAACCAACAAGGGAAAATCAAAAAATACTCTTAAGCAAATGGAAGAGTATAGTCATGGCACAGATGGCGCTCGAGCCGTTGGAGGCGGCGGAGGATTGCCAGAAGAGCGCAGTGACCGCCAGGGCCCCGGTGATGCGACTCAGCAGCAGCACCGCGCCCATGGAGCTGCTTCGGAAGATGCCTTCGAAAGCGAGACGAGCTCGGGAGCGAGCCTCTGCCTGGAGCCGCCTTTTTTGTTTGGGAGTTGATATGTTTTGTGGAAACCCCTGCCCAAAAATAGGAAACACCTTCTTCTTTCTTTTTTTGTTGGGGGGGGGGGGGAAGTCGGGTGATTTCAAAAGGAAAAGTCCTTCCCCCCCCCAAAAAAAAAAAAGGGCAACCACTGGGCACATGTGACTGAGCACAAATGTCTTTTTGTTGCACTTCCGAACGAGAGCATCGTAAGGTTTCTTCCCAGGTTTTACCAGCGACTTCCCTGGTTGCCCCCTGAGTAGTGGCAACTGGAGGCAGGGGAGTCGTCCAAGGGAACCAAACCAATGGGAGTCGAGTTGCAGAGGTTTGGGAGCAAAGGTGTCCTTTTACAGGGAATAGATGGCCCTGGTAGATGATTAAACCTCCAGCTAGACCAGGACCATCTATTTTTCTAGCAAAACAACCAAAAAGGACACCTATGTTTGGGAGGCCGCAGCAGAACAAACAAACCAAAGAGCAGGCGTATATAACCTGTTCTGAGGCAAAACTCGGGGAGTCCCGGGCTCAGTCGCCATGAACAAAAATGGTTCGGTGCATATACCCAGCATTGTTTTTTTCGTTCAGGATTGTCATCATCCAAATGGGGGCAACCATTCTTTGAATGGGGGTTGAACTCTAGGGAGAACCTGCCTTCATCTTATCTCTGAAATATGTCTCGAGTTTGTGGAGCCATCCTGGATACTTTCTTTGGTGCTGGACCGAGTTTGAATTAGAAGGCGTTTCCTTGAAGATGCCTTGAGTCCGTCTCCACCAAGAAGTACGCAAAAGCCTTGAGTTGAGGCTGCCAAAAGGACACCACAAGTCAGATGTGGACGGGGTTCAATCCTGAGAAGGTAGTTGGACTCCTGGGTTCTCATGAAAAACATACCTGTCAGGGATATATTTTGAAATGAGAAGACTGGATTCTCTCGGGTTCTCGACGAGCTTGAGCAATTGGGTTTTCTCTAACTTGGAATTGGACACGCGAACCTAATTGTTGGAGGTACCCTTAATCCAACTTGAAAACCACATCGCAACCCCATGGGGAAAACCAAAGAGAAACAGCACCCGCACAGAAGTCAATGAGCCTAAGCGGCGGACTAAATTGACACGAGAAGTAACACCAAAGAGAGAACCGGGCCCCACCTGTTGCTTGGCTCCCAAATCCACATGATGTCCACAGGGTCGAACCACTAGAATTCACACCCAACCCCAGTGAGACCAACCCTACGAGGGCGAGCGTGCTTCCTAAACCGGATCCGTTCCGAGCGGCTGCTCTGCAGGACAGTGAGCCATGGGGCCTGGGACAGGAACAGCACCCCGGCAGTCCTGAGTGATCGACTTTGAAGGACTCAATCCAATTCAACTGCTTCGAGTTCATCCCGGCTTCAACATCAGGTTTTTCCTGCAATCCAACACGACAAAACGGGCTTCGAGGTGGAAAACAAAAACTGGGACTAGGGGCAAGATGGGAAACGGTCAGTCAAACCAACACTGATTTCGAGGGTTGGTGGACCGTGCTGATCCTCTCAGCTTTCGCCAGAGATGTTTAGGGCAACTAGAGACTGATGGACTGTTCCTCGAGCCAAGGGTACTGCACACTGGGCTCAAAATAAGGTGTGTGTGTGTGTGTGTGTGTGTCAGCGGGGTGTTTGAAGGTCCCATGTTTGGGGATATTAACACAAACAAAGCCGCCCGGTTAAGGGGTTCGCCCCATTTGGCAACAAACATATTTGGAGAAGCACACACACACACACAAAAGCATGTCTTTTACTTTGAGTCTGCCCCCAAAACAGATGCCTCTTGGTTTCCCTTAATGGTCCTTAATGGTTATTAACTGAACACAAATCGGTTTAATAACATTTTGGCGCCTGCTCCCTTCCATAGCCAGAGCGCTTGGCTAGGAAGGCCGCGCGCCCGTCCGTCTCCATGAGCTGCTGGTGCTGCCTGGTCAATGTCAGAATGTCAGACGGGATGCGGGCGACAAAAACCAAGGCTGCTTGACATGCTTGTGGAACATCATTTCACCCTTGCTGCAAAATTGGTCGTGCCACGCCGACTTTGACGTGGTTGTGGAACAATGCCATGACTACTTTGTCTCTTGGAAGGGGCTCCCTTGGCCACTCACAGAAAAACGCCTGGTACCATTCAGTCATGCGCCGAAAGGGACAGAGTCTGCTGGGCGTGGCAAACTTGGGGAACCTGCGGCCCCCGAAAGGCTGCGGACTCGCCCGGCTGAGTCAGAGAAGCTTGAAGCCACCCGATTCCTGTACCCCTCAAAGAAAGGAAATCAGCGGAAGATGAAGCAATCTTGCCCCTAGGGCCGCCTCAGCCAAAGGACATGGCTAGGGCTTTCTTCCTTCGCAGTGGACGCCTGGTGCCTTTAGAGAGTCCGACCTCTTGTCCTTCTCCAAAGTATGGGCAACCGAAAAGGATCGAAGGATGGTTGCCTCGCACCATGGAGCGAACAGTGCATTTCTTCAGCCAGTGGGCACCGTTTTGGTAGTCCATGCAAAATATATTCTCCAACCAAAAAGGCATTTTTTGGGTGCCTTTGAGAACATGTCATATCCAGTTGGAACCTCGGGCAGTGATAGAGATCCTCGCTTCCCCCCCGCCTCTCGAGTCGGTCCTCTACAATGTGATGCAAGTAGCTAATCCTCTCTTCGACGCTGGACTCCTGTGACTCGGCTCAGCGCGACTGAAAGCAGGGGTCCAATTACATGATACACCTGAACATTGCCTCGTAAATGGAAACCGTTTCCCTTTATTCTGGTGGAAAAAGCACCATGTTTCAAATGGTGTCAAAATGGAGATCTTTTCAGGAGCCCTGGTTGAAAGGGAAGCCCTTTTGGGGGAGAAGCCTCGTTTAGCGGGGAAGCCACCAAACCAAAGGCCACTCGGGACTGAGGATGAACAAATCCTGCACCATCAAGTTGTTGATCGTATGAGGGTTCATTCATCCTATCTGGTGCAGGTAAATCATCCATAATACCGTATGCCTCAAGAGCGGCCTTTCCCCAACCTAGGGACAACGGCGCCGAAATTCTCGTTTTGCTCCTTGATTTGTGGTAACTAAAGAACTGGCATATCAGATCTTGCAAGTAGTCAAATAGCTAGTTGATTGGAAGCACGGTCGCTTTCATAAACTTGGCGCCCCGAGAAAGCTTCTGTTGAAACAGGCTTGGGCTTGAAGCACGATTGCTGAAACAACCAAAGGTAGATGTTGTGTTTCAAAGGAACCCACGCCAGACTCGAGGGTCCGCTTTTCGCGAAGTGGCGGAAACATCCTCTCGACGACGAGATGTGCACCAAACACCCAGCGATGCTCCTCATGAATCTTTTGCGGGGACTGTCGCTGACTAAGCTTAGGGCAAGCTCAGGATACACCCTTCATGAGTTCTCACGCGCACCTTCTGTGCTAAGGATCCGCTTAAGCCTCCAAACCAAAGGGTCATCAAGCAGCCCTCTCTTCCCAAAACAGAAGCACTCAAAACCCACCGTGTTCTTTTGGTGGTCGATCTCCACGACCATGGCCAAAAAACACAGGGCGGATTTTTCCCGCGCCCATCTACCTAGTGCGACCACCAAGTTTTCAATTACAAACTCCGGTTTTTTGGCACGCCCTGCCTTTTTTTCAGGGTTTGGGTGCTCTATGGCAAGCGAATTGTCCCTACCCTCCGATTGCCCGACATGACTCACTCCCCCTCGGCTCCTGACCCGTAAACTTCACGGAGGACCAGGCCTCCGGATGGCCAAGTCTCAAAATGAACACGGATCTCCCCGCCGCCCCCGCCCAAAAACACAAACAAACGTTAGGGCTGCCATCCTTGTTGGGTTCGGCGCAAAGGCAGGCCTTTTTCTTTACAAAACAAGTTGACATGTTGGTGTGTATCAACCAATTTGTTGAAATCTAGGGCAACATTTGGACTCTGTTCACCCACTTCCGAATTCCTGCGTGGACTGGCCAACAAAAGTCTAAGTTGTTTGCTTGCCACCAAAATATTGTGTACCCAAACAGTTTAAAGTTCATGACCTCAGGCAGTGAATCACTTCCAAGCTGCAGCACTTGCCACCATTGCCGGCCGGCATATCTGAATGGCCGGGCTAAGGACCAATCAGTCCTTTTTGAAGCTGCGTCTGGCGCACTCTGCCGGGCAGTTGCCCGCAAAAGCTTGGGGGATGGGGAAAACACAACAAGCGACGCGAAACGCCTCATACTTCCTTTTCGGATGGCAAGGTGAAGTGATCGATGCTTCGCGCAAGCGAAAGAAGCGCTGTTTTGAGCAGACAACAGCCAGAGGTGGAAGCCGCCCATTGCGGCAGCCGTAGAAGCACCGCAGCCCTCCGCAACAACAAACTGCCGCGGGCTTCCGCGACCTGTAGCGCAAATTGTCTTTGCATACGTAATGGACCGAGCAAAAACCAACGAAACTCAGTTGTCCAATGTTGTCCAAGCTGTGCCCTGCTGAATGTGACTGCCATGGGCGTCTCACAGTGTGAGAACAAGCAATGAGTTTCAAGGCACCTCAGAAAGCTAGGGTCGCTAAGCAAGTGACCTGAACCGAAACACAGCCCCAGCCCCCCAGCCCCAGCCTGAAACATTGAGACCACAGCCTGAGGAGCCAACACCCTAAACAAAACATCCCACCAAATCAACAAACAAGACACCCGAACAAGTTCCGAGCTTCCGCCCCAAAACAACCCCCACCAAACATGGGGGTTGACCTAACAACTTGGCTGGAATTAGGACCCCAGCCAAAAAATATCTTCTTTGGTTAGTGGAAAACCAAGGGGACCCCAAAAAGGCACCCACTCCCCCTCCCGCGCCTTGCTCGCCATGGACTGCGCCCGCGTGGAAGGGGTGGCGGAGCCCGTGGCACTCATCCGGTGCTCCTGGGAAGTGGCGGGCTGGGCTTCGAACGACTTGCTTTCCCCAGCTCAGGGCTCCCTCTGTGCACAGTTAAGACACTAACAAACCTTGGTGGCTCTTGACCCTGCAAAAAGTTGACCTTGGGGGGTTTAGTGGAGAAAACCCCTTGATTTCACAAAAAGTTAAAAGTTTAAAGATCCAACCCAATAGCAGTCAAGGTTAAAAACTGGTGTTCCTGGCTTTCCCTTGCGTAAAAGATGGCGTGATTCCATTTTCCTGGATAGTAGGTAACAAAGGGAACTACTCTTTACAAACCAAGAGGACACTGGTTGGCTATAGAGCCTTGCCTGGGATCTGGGATGACTCTATCCCCTTTAGCCACCAGAACTTTCTTTTAACTTTCACATTGGTTTTCCCAACAGCCAGTTCGGTGCCCCTTGCAAACGGAAACCCCATAAGGGGGGAGTCAGCCGATCGGGCCGATCGGGTTGCTTCCATCTTACCGCCGAATGACTTCGAAGTCTCCTCGGATTGAGATCCACGCAGTGGATGCTTGGGACAAAGCAGGTGGCCCAACTAAATTTTGGATCCTTGCTTATCTAAATTGGACACCTCTGACACAAACAAAGGCCACCACAATATTTTTTGTTGGTTCTGGCAAAGCTTCCCGCCTAGCATGGAAATTAGCAGAAGGCCCCTAAAAGTGGAAACGAGAAATTTCAAGGGACCTCCAGTCAGAATCCATATTTATATATCCTCCCCACTGGTCTCCAACACCCTGGTGCTCACTAGGGAATATGGGAATGAACCCAGTTGTCCCCTTCAAGGAAACCAGTTGGATGGTTTGTAGGGGTCATTCCCTCATTCCCTGCCTATCGCACCAACAAGTATCTTAGATTGCACGATCCCCCCTTCTTAAACGTGCAAGGTCCGGATGTGGAACCTCACGGTTTGATCACGGAGTTGAGCAAAGCTTTGAGCGTGAGGATGTAACTAAGGAAGTCCGTGGGTATGCTGCACACGGCAATGTCATTCCCGCATCTCAGTGAATCCTTGCGGATTGATGGGTGTCGAACTGCAGGCGAGTTTGGGCACATGAACGTCTGGAGCATCGGTCCCAGCATGGCGTATGGGCAGGAAACCCTTCACTGATGCGTCGGTACATTGCCCGGCCCCAGTGTCGCGTCTGCGGCCGAACCGCGGCACTCTATATCCCCTTCACATCTCAACCCACAGGAAAGTCCATCTAAATTCGACATGAACTGACGACTGGTGATTTCTTCCCCCCTACCCGGCAAAAAAGGAGTCCATACAAAGTGAGCACATAAGTTCACAGTCGAGATTTCCCCTTTGACCCTGGTGCCATCTCTTTTCGGACCGGGAAAGCGGGTTTCACCCAACCCGGTGCTCCGTGCGCGCCTCCTGCAGGAAGCGGACATCCTCTTTGGAGCGCCAGAGAGAGGTGCACGCCTGTATATCGACGCGTGAAGAGTACCACATGCCATGGACTTGTTGGTTCCAAGCCCAGCTACACCTCTTACTATAAACCCTGGCCTTCTTACGCACACCCTGGTCGGGTTTATACAGATTTGCTGACTACGCGGGTTGCAAAAATTCATTTCGCACCACTTTGAAACCAGGCGAACCCATAGTTTCGGGGAATCGTGATTTCAGGGCCTCTTGGGGATCTTGCAGGATTTTCGTCCATCCACGGGGGTTCCCCCCCCCCCGCTTACACCCGTGTCAGGTTCAGAGAGATCTGCGTTGCCCTTACCAAAACGCGCCCCATGAAACCCTGGTAGGACTCCGCGAAGCGGCCGAAGTGAACATTAATGCAGGCAATGGAAGAGGTAATTAATGAAATTCATGGTGGTAATGAGGTTAGTGGAGGTAATGGAGGCGAATAAAATTAAAGGCTCTTTCATTACTTCCAGCCAAGCAGACACCAATTGTTGGTTGGAAGATGTTGTAGGGAAACCCCAGGACAATTATTGGTAAATTGGCAGGAGCGGGGCTCCAGGAGGGCGGGGGGACATCCAAAAACTGGGCAATTGCCCATTGCGCAACAAGTTACAGTGTTTATCTCGTGGAAAAACACGCTTGCAACGAAAAGGACATGTTGAAGATCCACGCACGCCATCACCCCTGAGACACCTTGCTGGTTAGGGTTTCCCAAAAGGAGATTAATCCCCAAAATCATGTAAATTCTGAGCAGAAGTACAGTTGGGCGAAAGCAAATGGCACACCCTCGTAGGCTTTATCGCTCCCTGTACCTACAAACAAGGAAAAAGGTGCCATCTACGTTCACCACATGGCAAATGGCACAATGTCAATTTGCACCAGCAAAAAATAGACTTCCCGGAAACTACAGAAAAAAGGAAGAAGAAGAAAAAAAACATATGTTCCGAGATCAGATTCGGTTTCAATGAACTTGAGTAAAATGAATTGTTTGCTTCTACGTGCATCACCAGAACGTCGCAGTCAATCAAAGGTTAAAAAAAAAAAAAAACGGAAGAAGTACAATGTGCCCTTTGAGTTCCTAGGCTCAAATCCAAATCGTAGCCCCAGTGAATGCACCTACCCCAACATGGGATCTCGTTAGTTTTGACCCACAGCCATATGCAAGAACAAGCCTGTTTTTGGCGCCCTCTTGCATTTTTGTGTGTTTCTCAAGGGAAGCCCAAAGAAGTGTAATGTGCCCTTTGAGTTCCTAAATCCATAGTCTTTCGCTCGTCCTCGCCGTTGACCGTCCCCGAAAGTTTCCGTCGGGACGGCCTGATGCTCGATGCTGGTGGCCACCAGCCGCGCGAGGATGCGCCGCAGCGTGCCCTTGCGCGTGTTTCCTCCGGATGGTTCGCGGGCCCCGTGGTTCCGGGGGCCGGGACAGGAGTCAAAAGGAATGGGCGTCTTACTTCAGGGTTCCCTCCAGGTTCGTTAAGGGTAATGGTTTTGCCCTGACTCATTCAGTTCCAACCATGAATAATTCCCCTGCTCAGAACTCATCTGGCTTGCTCTTCCGCTCTGAGCAAATGGTCTAAGAAGCTAAGGTCAAACGAAATACCTGCCATGTCATAAAGAACCAACTTGACGAACAAGCTCGAATGTTCCACAAAGCTTCAGTGACAAAGGGCATGCTGCACTTGGCAGAAATTCAAGCCGCTTGCGACAACCAGACCCGAGCACTTTTGGAGGCGTTCATGGCTCCGAAAGCAGGGGTCACATAGTCAATCCCCGAGACGCCAGGCAGAAAAGGGATAAAGGAACAGGTTCAGATGTGAGGAAGGTGCAAACGCCAACCAAAATGCAGCTCAGCCAGGCTGGCTGGCCCAAAGCATGTAGCCGGGAAAACCTTCTCGTGACCCGCACTTCGTTTCCCCATCCGCCCTACGCAAAATGGGGAAGCCCCAAACATGGTGTGTGTGTCTCATCTTTTTCCCCATTCAAACCATCCAACAAAAATGGCCTCAGGGGTCTCAATGTTTCCTCCCGCTGGGTCGCTAGAGGCGATAAGCCGAACCCGGGTCCTTCGGACGGTGAGATCAGCTCCCAGGTGGTCCTCAGTGCCGATTTCGAGTTCAATGGGTTGATCAAAAGGTCCGCTAAACAATGGGGTGACCGGAAGACCACCCGAACAAGATGTGCATCAGATTCACCACAATGGGAAAAGTTCCTCATGGTCTTGCTGGGGCCAGGAATGTTGATCAACCCCCATGTGTTTGGGGCCCATGAACACCCAACTAGAGGTCAAACGACAGCTCTGCGGCTGGAACAAACAGTTTCTTGGGGGCCTCCCTCAAACTATCCATGGGAGTCGCCTCATTTTGAACCAAACACTTGTTGTTCTTTCAGGACAGTCTGTTGGTGCTTAGGGAATGAGCTTCCGGCATTTGGGAATGAACCGGTTTTGGGGATTCCCAAAAGGAAACCACATCGGGATGGCTGTGTTTCGGGGTCATTCCATTTCTGATTCCTTATGGAACCAGCAAGGCCGGTTGTTGGGACCTGCCTAGGCAGCGAGTAGTTTGAGGGGCACCGGCGGCACCGGCATGTTCGTTCGATCGCTGAGGCGGGGTCTCCCAGGCGCACACCAGGAAGTTTCGGACGTAGGAGAAGGAGGCCTCGCAGGTAGAGCCCACGGTGTCCAGGAAGTTCATGGTCTCGAGTCGAGGTGACTGGGGAGTTATGATAGGCCGGGTGGGTGGGTGGGGCAAATGTGGGTGGGTGGGTGTGTGTGGGTGGGTGGGTGGGTGGGTGGGTGGGGTAAATGTGGGTGGGTGGGTGGGTGGGTGGGTGGGTGGGTGGGTGGGTGGGTGGGTGGGTGGGTAGGTGGGTGGGTGGGTGGGTGGGTGGGTGGGTGGGTGGGTGGGTGGGTGGGTGGGTGGGTGGGTGTGGGTGGGAGGGATCACTAAAACCTCGAGGAAACACAAGTTGTTTGGGTCAAGTGCCCTCTATTTTGACACAAGCCCACCATGGGTTTCCTAGACCCACTTAGCCCAGGCGCTGTCTCCTTCAGGCTGCCGCAGCAGCCCTCGTGCACCATTTCCTTCATGTTGGCGAGATCTTTGGTGGTGATCCTCTTGGTCTTGCCTGCAAAGCGCCGCGGGGCAAGACTGTCTTTAAACGGCGCAAAAACGAACAGGGGGATAATACAGGAGACAGGCAACCAAATGAATCCAGAATCCCACAAGGTTCTCTTTGTTTCGAACATGCCAACTGCTCCCCAAGGTTTTGCCCCTCAACCACCATCCTGAAAGGGCACCAACGGACTCTTAGCCACATGCAAAAGAAGGACTAACCTGGGTGCCAAACGGGGGAGGGAGGGTAAAAGTACGAAACCAGTCCATCCGGTTGCCTTTCGAAACGCGAGCTAGCGTCCACAAAACGACCAGAAACTCCAAGACAAAAAGAGGCGCTGCAGAACGGAGGTTCGCACCTTCGATTTCGAACGAAAGGATGCCCAAAACAGCCAGGTGATTTACTGGTTCACCACTTTTTTGGAGGGAAGGCAAATGGGCTTCTGAACTCAAAAAGCTCATGGCCCCAGTACATGGGAGCCCTTTCTGGGCATCCTGTGGAGAAGCCCGTGAACAAACCCGGACAATCCAGGCAACTGCCGCTCGAGCATGGTTGTTCAAGGATTGCTGTGTGGCAAACTGGTTTTTTGGGTCCCACCTGAGAAGGTACCGACCACTCAACTGGACTCGCTTGAGTCAAGTGAAGACTTGGATAAACAACAAAAACAAGCACGGTACACCAGGGATTCCCACTGATTCCGCCCCCCTTCCGGCTCGGAAAACGGCGTCCGCGAGGCGTAGACCGCCTCCGGCGATCATGGTCTTCTGCTTGGTCCTCGCAAACTGCACCGAAGCCTTGACCATGGTCCGGTTGCTCGTCACGAAATTCTCATCCGACCATCCGCCTGCCACATGAAACGCGGAGGCCGGCGGAGGGAGCCGATAAAGCCGGAAAGACGTGCGGCTTACGTCTCAACATTGAGAAGCCTCACAAAAACATGCGGCTGTCCCTGGTAAGTGGAAACATGGACCAAAACCTGCGTAACCCCTCTTGTTCAATTTTGAGCCACAGCCAACACATGGTTCCACTCAACGCTACCTTCCTTTGTTGAACAGGTCATCCAAATGAATCATAACAATTCACCAACCCCAAACAGTGGTTCCCTACAGTGTGAAAATAACCTTGATAGGGCTCGAGGCTGCAAACCCCGCGGGGTTTAAACATGTAACTGAAACATGGTTTAAACTGGTGTTCAATCCACCTCCCTTGCTTAAACAATGGCTTAAACAGCTGTGCAAACAACCTCCCTGCTTTAAATCATAGTTTAAACATGTTTGAAGGACCTCCTCTTGGGATCCCTAAGGGAATAAGGGTCTGATTGGTACCGTTCCCGTCAAACAAAATAGTTTCCTGTGTGTCATGGTCCATGTATTCGCGTAATGTCCATCGAATCCCGGCACCCAACAAGTTGACAGTCTACAGGTCAAACCAGCTCACCCGTTTGCCCGCGCCGCCGGAGAGTTTGCTCTACGAATCACATCCCTAATGAAATCGACCACCAACCATCAGACTCCAGAGCCTCAGGGTGGAGCCTCAAGAGGACCAAAGATCAGTGTTCCAGTCACCTGAGACTTGTGGAAACTGCTAATCGGAGTTCAATGACCTATGCTAACTGTGAAAATCCCAAGATCACGGTTTAAACTAGGTTCAATCACTTGTGGGTTGTTTGAAGGTAGACAGTTAGTTCAAAACCCGTAGGACTATCACTCTCGAACCAGAAAGCAAACGCATCTGCAAATTAACGTCTTGCAGAAGTTCTGAAACAAATCCAAACCCAGGACGCTGGTCGAGAATTCGAAACGGAACAAAACACCGACAACACGCCACGCAGCAAAATGGGAGCGAGTGCGAAGCAATTGACAGAAGTGTTGGCTCCGGCTCACGTGAGGGATGTTCAAAACGAAAGGGACTGGGGCCCCGTGTCCGGTCAAAAACAGGCCCCCCCTCTTTGAAAAACTCCAACTTGTGCCATGGTCAAGACTCCCGTACTTATATGCTTCGCCACCTATGGCCATCCCGGTCAACGCCAAGTAAAGAGACATTTCTAGGTCCTCCAGTAGAGAGGTTAGAATAAGGGTACCCTTGTTGCTGTAGTCTATTTTAGTAGGGAGCCCTCCCCCAAAAAGAAACGGTAAAAGGGTACTCTGGGGGACCTAGATTTTCACCATGGCACACCTTTTTCCACTTCCCCTCCTCGTCTGCGCCGGAGATCGCAAATGCAGGCCAAGGCCATGAGCAGGGACTGCAAGCCCATCATGATCCAAAGCCTGAGATCACGAAGATCCAAACCGGGGCCAAGCAACTGTTGCAGCATAATTTAGAGCATGCTGAACTGGGCTGCCCGTTTTCAGATCCCCTGTTCGAAGTCTAACTTGTGGGTTACATGGAAACCAGCACTAAACTCTAAAAGGCTCAAAAAGCTAAGGAACCGGATGGCAAACCCTATGGCTGGGAGCCACCAAGTTTAAACCGCCAAACTCTTTTTCAACCTCCCCTTTACCATATTGCCCCCCACCTGCGAGAGGAAAAAAAAACACTTTCCGGCCCCCTGAGACTTGTCAATGAGGGGTGAAAGGGGTCCCAAATATCCCAATTTGAATTGGGCAATCTAAACTCCCAAATTTCCCGGCGACCCCAATTCCAGTTTTAGGGGATGACTTGGGGGATGTTTTCCGCGAGTGTCTTGGGGGGATGTCTTTGGGGGATGTGTAGGGGGTGTCTCTGGGGTTGTCCTGGGTGAAGTTTTTGGGGATATCTTCCGAGGGGGCTCACGGCTCGCGAAACTGCTTGACTTTTCGCTGTGAATTCAATGCTTAAAGAGTGTGATAGTTTAAATCCCAACAGTGCCATGTAAACTCGTGTGGAGGCGAGTGGGAAAGCCCCCGCGACCCTATAAACATTGTTCCGCCTGAGGGAATTTCCGTGTTGGCGGCAGGGCGGTATTTACTGTAGGGACGGGAGTAAATGCAAAAGGGTTCTGTGGAACGGGGTCCTCAAAGAAAACTGTATCTCCAACAACCACCTGGCTCGGATCCAAACCCGAAGAAAGTATTGGGAAGGATGTTTATTGGAGTGACTCACATGGGCGTCTCTTTCTTGCACTGTACTCCCGTTTTTTGGGGGTTGGCAAACGGAAGCCCACAGGAAGACCGAAATCCATTTTGTGGGTCACTGGACACTCAAACTACCCGTAAAGAAGGGAACAACATCTCATATTTCTGGGCAATAATCAAATCTCCTCCATTGTCTTAAGTCCTCAGGACAAAAATGAGAACATGTGTCCAGTAGTGACATCGAGTCCCTTTCAAACCAACAGGGCGAAATAATACAGCACAAATATTCATTTCCGCAAATGGAAGAACATAAACATACTGAAACCGCCACCTCTTTTACAACGTCCTTTTGGAAGGGCTGTAAAGGGCACCATATTTCCGCCACTCGTGAGAACAAAGAATCCACTGGATTATGCAGCCGTCAAGTAAATGTGGATGGACAAACGCCTGCAGTGATTGGCATATCCCAGTATCAGTAGGCGACTGGTGAAAAGAGGATTTTGTGACAATATGACAAGCAAGCCAACCCGAAAGACCATCATTGAGAAGACAATTCAAGGTGGTTCTCCTTACCGCCTGCGACCTTCGTCCAATGAAGCTCTGGGGCAGCTTGGCATTCGGCCGCCGGTACCACTCCGTCTCCAGGATGGCGCGCAGTCCTCGAAAGTCTCCCGTAACCGGTCGGCCGTGTCTTCAAAATCCGAGGGCTACATTTGGGCGTGTCGTTTCTTTGGCCCAGAGGGTCCTAAGTACCCCACATGTTTGCGGCTTTGGGCTTGGTTTGGGGACTCGTCAACTACAAATTCCTCATAAATCCTCAAGTCTGAGGTACTTGAACCCGGGTAGGGGAGCCACCAACATGGACTTCGGTTGTCTCTGTGTTTGTGCACGCGTTCTTTTAGGGGAGCCACCAACATGGATTTCGGGCTTCCCTCTTTGCCCTTGGACACTGCAAGCAAGGGTGTACCCTTCAAAAAAACAGACCCATGTGTTTGACCAAGGTGTAAACTTTAAAGTGTTCTTTTAAGGGTATCCGTTTTAATTGGTGTTGATGGGAAACCAGCTGGAAGCCAACTGTCCCAAAAAGGGCAACCCCTTAGTTTGCGTTTACCTTGGGTAATAAAAAAAACATGGAACCTGGTCAACATAGGGGGAGCCCCGACATGGTGGTTTTCCTCTTCTTGGTTTCCCTTAAAGCTCCAAAACACACACACACACACACACCCTTTGGTTGTTGGGGAACAACCAAAACAACACCAATGAATTTGGGCCTTTTTCTGGAGGTTCGCCCTTTTAGGATCATGGTAAAGGAAACGACAAGGAAACAAAATCCCGCTGGGCGAATGATGAATACAGCCCTCTCCATTCTTCACACAGTCTTTAATCCATCATACAAGCCATTGAACAGGGCACCTCCTGCCCCTTAAAAGGGCCTACGGCTGCGATTGATTTCCTACCCTTGCTTCAGAATTGTGGAATCGGGGAAGGGTGACCAGCGGAATTCCCACTCGGGTGGATCTTCGCGTAAGGCTAGAAAACTCGAATTGCGGCCGAATGTCCCTATGTTGTGACTAATCACAACTTGTAGCATGCATTTGAAGGGGGTAAGAGATTCCTCTGAATGACTTTCTGGGCTTCATGTCCCGTTTCGATCTTAGCGCGGAGAGAGCCGAGACGCCCTGCTCTGACAGGAGCGTGGCTTGGGAGCAGAGCAAGGCTTCGATGAAGCCACCCATGATGGCCGCGAAGAGTGTGAGGTGGGTGGACCTCAGAAGCCATCCCAAATCGCCTTGGACAAAAACGAAATAAACGGAACATGATATGTTCACATTGCTGATTCATTGTCTGCTTGGTTTGCTTCTTGGTGGTGACCCCAAGTAATCTGGAAAATTCATGGAGGCCTTGGACAATCCAGACCAAAATGTCAGGGTATGTCAGCATTGCTCTGAATCAGTATTGCAGAGGAAAGAAGCTGGCGTTTATCCTAAGATAGGGTTGCCCTAAATATTGCAAATTATTGCAAGTCGGGCTGTAAACCACTTCATAGTGCTGTGCTTGCAATTGGATATGCATCTTCCAGTTGCTTAAGCCCCATGAAAACAAAAAACACTTTTCCAGTAGTGATAGATTCCCTCTAAAACCAACATCGGAAAACAACAACATTTTCTCAAGCAAATGGGAGATTTGGGGCCTTTGGCATCTGGGCACAGCTTCTTCGCTCCCAATTTTGAGCCCTTTCAGCCGCCTTAAGCGGGCGAAGGAACTGAGGTCGTGGCGAGCAAAGCAAGCGCCCCTCCTCGTCTCGGCCCAAGGTCTCCACGCCCTTGTCGGACCTTGGCATAGGTCTCCCTTTAGGGGAAATAGATGGCCCTGGGGGCATGATTAAACCACCAGGTAAACCAGGAATCGCCATCTATCGTTCGATCAAAACAACCAAACAGGACACCTATGGATCTTGGTCGATATGCATCTGACACCCTACCAAAACTGGGCTGCACGTTTTCTGATCCCGCGCTAAAAGTGACTAACTTTTAGTGGGTGAAATGGAAACTACCACTAAACACTAAAAGGCTCAAAAAGCTTACGGGATGCCTGGTAGCCACCAAGAAAAGAGGTAACACGTGTTGCTGGTTGAACGGGACAATCAGCAGGGTTCTTAAAAGATTCGTTCCAACCAAAAACGTGTTGCTGGTTGAAAGTCAGGTAGACAGGGGTTCCTTAAAGGATACAGAAACCTTTGTTGTTGTAAAAGGTCTTTCTGTAATTATAAAAGTGCTCTAAAAGCTCTTCAGGTTAAGACTTAGTTGGACCTGGCATCCTGGAATTTCTTGTGGGGGGGGGGGTAGGGGCGTCAGATTAAATGCAGTGCACCCAACAGGTTTACAGGTTTAAAGGTGTTTCCCTCAATGTGACCTGCTGACTGCTTTGCAACTTCTTCATGAGCAACCTCAACTTCATCGTGACTCAGAAGATGAGTTTGGCCCTTGACATCAGCACTGTATGAAGTGCTGTCCACTGCAAAGTGGTTATCTCACAAGCACTGCATGAAGTGCTTTTCCGCTGTAAGAAGCGGCATGTTCAACATGTCATGTTGTGGCTGTAGGTTGAGACCGTCAGTTTCATGTTCAATCCATCTACTTTCCAAGATGATGGAATTTTGAGATACAATCCATTTGGTTTTCATGGTGAGAATTTTGAGATATCTTGAATCCATTTGGTTTTCATGGTGCTTGAGTTTTGATTCATCTTGAAAACAACTTGTTTCAATCTTTCTGTGATGAGCAGCGGGCATGTCAGCGAGCTCTGTGTCGTCAATGCAGTATACCCACTGTGCACTTTAGTCTTAGAGTTGTTATTCTCTAGCAGGGCGCCCACGTGCATTCCTCCTAAAGGAAACCAAGGGGCTAATGAAAAGCTGAGATTTCCAGAAACAGGTTTGAAGTTGTTCCCAGTGTGACCTGGACTATCAGCCCTGCAACTTGCTGGACTACTTCATCATCGTGACTCAGGCGATCAGCTTGGTTCTCAGCATCAGCACTGTATGAAGTGCTGTCCACTGCAAAGTGGTTTTCTCCACAAGCACTGCATGAAGTGCTTCCGCTGTAAGAAGCGGCATGTTCACCATATCACATGTTGTGGCTCTAGGTTGTTCAGCATATCGACCCTGTGAGACCCCTTCAGTTTCATGTTCAAGCCATCTACTTTCCAAGATGTTGGAATTTTGAGATATCTTGAAACTCAAGCCATTTGGTTTTCCTGACGATTGATTTTTGAGATTTCTTGAAACCTACAACTTGTTTCAAATTTTCTGTGATGAGCGGCGGGCATGTCAGCGAGGCTCTGGGCTCTGTGTCGTCCATGTCATGCACCCACTGTACACTCTACCTCCTAAAGGAAACCAAGGGGCTAATTAAAAGCTGAGATTTCCAGAAACAGGTTTGAAGTTGTTCTCAGTGTGACCTGGACTATCAGCTCTGCAACTTCCTGGACTACTTCATCATCGTGACTCAGGCGATCAGCTTGGTCCTCAGCATCAGCACTGTATGAAGTGCTGTCCACTGCAAAGTGGTTTTCTCCACAAGCACTGCATGAAGTGCTTTCCGCTGTAAGAAGCGGCATGTTCAACATGTCACATGTTGTGGTTCAGGTTGTTCAGCATATCGACACTTTGAGACCCTTCAGTTTCATGTTCAAGCCATCTACTTTCCAAGATGTTTGAATTTTGAGATATTTTGAAACTCAAGCCATTTGGTTTTCATGATGTTTGCTTTTTGAGATACCTACACCTTGTTTGGAGCTTTCTGTGATGAGTGGGCGTGTCAGCAAGGCTCTGTGTCAATGATGCAAGTGCACCCACTCTACACTCTCGGCCTAGAGCTACACGGCTTCAGCCGGGTCCTCATGTGCCTCTTGCAGAATAATTGCCCTGGCGCTGGACTATGTGCTGCAGCTTGCTAGGTTAGGCTACTTCATCGTGGCTGAGGTGATCAGTTTCGTGCTGGTTCTTGGCATCAGCGCTGCATGAAGCGCTGTCCACTGCAAAGTGGTTAGCCCGCCACAAGCACTGCATGAAGTGCTTTCCGCTGTGAGAAGTGGTGTGCTCAACATTTAGTCTCAGTTTCATGTTCAATCTGTTCATGATGTTTGAATCTTGAAGCCTACGACTTGTTTCAATCTTTTTGCGATGAGCAATGCTCTGTCAGCTTGGGTCTGAGCTAGGCTTTGGCAAGGACATGCCCCTTCCAGGAAGGCAAGGCTCCAAATTAACAACTGGGCCTAATGCTTGTCAACAACAAACTTGCAGGTGCTTCCCCCACTTCGACCTGAACTGCCAGCTCTTCGAGCTTCTCTGCTTCATGATGTCAGGCAATCAGCCTGGTTCTCAGCATCAGCACTGCATCATAGCATCAGCACTGTACGAAGTGCTGTCCACTGCAAAGTGGTTCTCTCCACAAGCACTGCGTGAAGTGCTTTCCGCCGTGAGAGGCGGCATTTTCAACATGTCATGTTGTGGCTCTAGGTTTGTTCAGCATATCGACACTTTGAAAGCCCTTCAGTTTCACAGTTTGTTTTCGTGATGTTTGCCTTGAGATCTTGAGGCCTACAACTAACTGGTGTCAAAGTTTCTGTGATGAGCAGCGCGTGTGTCAGCATGCCACACGAGCAATGTCAGCCCCGTTGGGCCCTGCTTCAATCTCATACACGCCTCTTCCAGGAAGGCAAGGTGCTAATTTAAACCTGAGACTGATTTGAGGTGCTTCTCCACTGACCTGCCAGCTGTTCGAGCTTCTTCCTGGACAGCCTCTGCTTCATGATGTCAGGCGATCAGCTTCAGCGCCGCATCCTCACTGTGTGAAGTGCTGCCCGCTGCCAAGTGGTTAGTTCCACAAGCACTGCACGAAGTGCTTTCTCACTGTGGGAAGCAGTATCATGACACGGGTCAAGGTTTCTTCAAAAAAATCAACCTGCAAGACTCTTCAGCCAGGCTGGTTCAATTTGTTTTCATGATGTTTGAGTTTTGAGATCTTGAAGCCTACAACAAACTTTCTGTGATGAGCAGCGGGTGTGTCGCCAGGTCTTCCAGTGAGGCTCTGGCAGCTTGGCAGATGCACTCTAGCCACAGGCTGGGACAGTTGTTCAAGGCTTTCGGTGCCAACAAATTTGAAGGAGCTTCCCAAAGACAATGACCTAGTCCACGGTGTCGGGCGATCAGTTGGGTCCTGTCAAGAGACGGCAAGGTGACGTCCCGTGGGACGCTATGCACCGAACCCTCAAGCTGTAATACCAACCACGTAGAAAGGTGTATACGGACGATGCCGTTATAGCCGAACCCGTGTAAACGTTGTAAGGGAGAAGGAATGATAGTTACAACAGTAGTCCTGACAAATGCAGCGCAAGCGAAGTGTTTTCGCTCTCAATGCCGATCACGTATGTATGCAGTCACACATCAGATCTTGAACCTCAATTGTGTCTTGAGCCAAATGGCGATCAATGGAACTTGGGAAGCAACACCAACAAGGACCTCAGAACAGCTACCCAATTTCGGCACGGGGCCTAGAGGGTTTTAACATCCCCCATTTGGGTCGCATTGTTCATCATGCGGTCCAAACACCACAAAACGTTCCACTGGCCACGGCTTCAACTACGAAATCGTGTCGTGCATTCTTTTACTTGCTATCACTACACCGTTCATTCGCTGTGAAACATGCCGGGTTCGATTGTACGAAAAGTGAAACATTCATCCTCCAATCGAAGCACACATCCATATGCAGGTGTATATAATACACAATCGTCGCGTCATTTGACCACCAACGAACAATCCAGCTGCCGCATTTGCGCATCGCGCAGCTGTCATCCATAAATGGGTTGGCCGAAAAAGTCCACCAGAGGCGCCTGCTCGCAATCGGTCTGCATAATTCCGGCAAAGAAACATCGGTGAGTAATCAATGCAAATCATAGCCATTCCAGATACCATGGACAATGCATAAATAATGAAAAGATATCATCTATAAGGTAATAGTTCCATCCATGAATATCCAGAGCGTCATAGTCATCGGAATATGTAACCATGTACACACCCAATCATCTTGGACACATGAATATAAATCATGACATAAGTCGTTCCACCGAAACAGTGTCGATGTGACGCAAGTAACAGATGGGGACTGACCCACATCGTACCGCAATCATCATCTTCACGAAGCATACCTGTCCCCAATGGACAGCCTATGGGTACGTCGGCGGAACTCCTCGTCCAAGTTCTTCTGGGCTTCTCGTGCCCGGACACACTTCTTGTTGTAGTCCTCTGGCAACCAGTGCCCTTTCCGAAGGCACCAATCCAGCAGGGGTGTGTCGCATTTGTTCGGGTCGATGGCCGAGATGATGGCGCTCACGTTGACCGTGTAACCATTCTTGCCAAGGTTTAGGCCATCCCTCACGAATGATATATACTTACAGTTGAAAGCTAGTGCAAAACATCTGAAAATAATATCACCCACCGGGTGCACTCGGTCCTTGACCAGGAGCTTCATTTCTTCCTTGGTGACATCGAGGATTCTCGCTGCAATCCACAGCTTGTAGAATGTGTAAAGTCCCTCGCATTTGCACACCATCATACGAATATATTCGTCACGCTCCTCAACCGATCGGAAGGCTCTTGTCCGAACATTCTCCGATTGAGAAATCTTCGTTATTGTTGATGGCAAAAGTATACCTTCCTGATCATGCTCAGTGATGTTGGGGTACCTCTTGAAGTCATTGTGATAAGGGCAGCCCGGATTCCCTTCGAGTCCGGCATTCATCGTTCTCTCCTCACCACCTTCAAACATCCCCC